TCGACCATGGATTTCGATGAATTCCACCAAGTGCACCAACAGGTTGGTTAAGGTGACAGTCTCAGGGGGGTAGTTTTAAAGTGATTGAGGACATAGCGGCTCTGCACTCTTCCTCTTCACCTTGAGTCTCGAAGACTAAACGGGTTCCCGCGTAGGCTGCTTTATCCAATGCAAGCCGAAACACCGCCTAACTTAGTCTTAGGTAACAGTAGACTTTGCGCTGATACTGCTGCTTTATCTACCCTAAGCTCACCCTAAGTAGGCGTGAAGACAGGCTCAGGGAGGCCGAGACTGATACAGTTACTATTGTTTCTACTTCTACTGACTATCAGTGTAGCCGAGTCTTAGTAATAGTTGTACTATTTCTGACGGCAAAATTTGTCAGAAGTGACGCTGAGTTTAAAATCACAGATGGAACTCGTACCTCATTTGCCCTCAGCAAGGAATGGGGAATTCGCGTTTATGTTATTTCGAGTGAATACAATTAGTTTATTAGTTTAGTTTTATTAGTTTATTGAAAGGCAGACTTTTGCAGCATCTACCGTCTTCTGTTCTCCCTCATCACCCACCTTGCTGTGATAGGCACCCGGAGATGGGTGCGGACGCAGTGGACGAAAATGCCAGCCACGCCTTCTACGCGTGCCACACACGGCAGGAATCTCAAATGATTGTGATTGTCAGGGAACCTGTCCTTCAGCTAGTCACCCTCCCGCATACACAAGTATTACTGACCACGAGGATCGAGTTATTGCACTAACAGGGGGTTCGCAGGTGACAATTTTGGACTGACGTATACCGTGAAGTACTCGAGCTGCCACCTTCTGGATAACAATCTGAAAAATGGTCACCCGATAGCATCTTCACAAGCCGCACAGTTTTTACGGCATTGCAAACGTTATTTGCCTTCCGATGCCATCCTCAACCCTTGAAAGGGGGTCCAGATTTCCGTCCTAGAATCCGGAGGCAGCAGAAAGCCGCCCCCTCCCCCGTAAAGCAGCCTTACGCAACCGTCGTCGAATAAGGCACGATTCGATGCGTTTTTGGGGGACCGAGGGGCTTGGAACATGTGATCAATCGCTTCCCTCATGTGTATATGGTTGTGAGTTGGTAGCGGTGACGGTGACGGTTGGACACCATTACGTGTAGCGTAGAATTGGACCCCAAGTTTTATTGGCAAGTAGTGAACAGCAAGCCCGCTCAGCTGACAATCACTTCTTCTGCAACAGAGTGGTTGCAGCGTGGAACGCTCTTCCCGAAGATGTTCTCCGCTTATGTGAATTTATTTAAGAGCAACCTGGTCATGCATCAAACATCTCATTCACCAGCTACACAATAGTTCATGGTGCCACACAGTTGATTACAAGTATTTTATCACTCGTAGCCATTTATAATTAACTGCAGTTCGCTTTTGGTCCGCAATCATGTAATTGACAAACATTTTGCATTTTTCTTTTTTATCTATCCATTTCCTAGTCACCTTGTTAGCAATAGGGGACTCAAAAGCTTTCGCCTATCTTCTTCTTCATAAAACTGAGCCGAACTGGGCTGAAGTGCGCCTGATAGTCATTCTACTGGATTCTAATTGGTTGCTTAGGACATCCTGTTTGGGCAGTCAGCTTATTGTATCTGTATTGGTGGATTCCATACGTACAGTAGGCTGGGCGGCTAAATCGACCCAAGTGTGATTAAATTTACGGCTCTCGGCATGCCCTCGTAGCTCAGTTGATAGAGCGTTGGTTGTACTAAAGCTGATGTGCTTTCAAATCCCACCGAGGCC